ATGACTCGTGCCAAAGGCCACATGTCCGTCATCACCAAGATTGTCTCGGCTCGGGAACTTAGGTACGAGAGGGGAAGGTCATGAATGCATTTGAGTACCCCCACTCGCCCGATCAAAGATCGGCCTCTACTAATCATGATATGATTCTTATCAACATTATATGCTCTTGTTCCAGTTTATTAGGCTAGAATTTACTATGTGATACGTGCACACAAGGTATAGACTAGTTTGCCCGAATTGAAACAATTCAATTTCATGTTTGTTTTTTGAAAAGGGTTTGAGTTTGCCACATAACAAAGTGGGCTTAAAGTTTGCGAATTTGCCACTTGACAAAGTGGGTTTAAACGTACATCCATTGAATCATTCCAATTCAAGCAACATGCCTTCATCCACAGGCACTCAAACATTTTAACACGTAAGCACTTAACCTCGTGGCAAGCATGCTAATCATGGCAATCACTTACACTCATGCAAATATGCTAAAGCACTAAAAACTCACCTAGTACTCCAAGCTAAGATAAAACAAAAGAGTTAGAAAAATATGCATGACACCAAACTATGCAAGATAGCTAATGCCACGCATGCAATAATGCAACTAAAATAGGTTCAGCTACTTAACATGTCATTTGCAACAATTTGGCGGTCTAAGCACGTATTCAAATAAGTATTGAAATGACAATACAGTTACAATGATGAACCAAGCCTTGGTGCATGTAGGACAAATAAATGAATGCAAACATGCAATATGCTATTTGAAACGTGATGCCCCTAATCTAACCATCAAAAGCGGATAAATAAAAAAGAGAAAAGACATGGGGTGGAAGACATACACATTATTACAACATTTGATCCCTCACGCAGAAGGGTGCGAATCTATGTCCGAAAGTCTAAATTAAGCTAACTATTACAAAACCAAATGAATGAATAATAATTAACTTAACTAAACTAATTAACTACTTTATTACAACAATTTAATCAATTAACTATTCTAGTTAACTAACTAATTACAAAATGAATTTAAATAACTAATTGACTAACTAATTAGTTACAACACTTTGCAAATTAAGTAGCTACAAACCAATTAATTACAACAAGATTAATTTACATTCTACAAAATGCGTAAGTAAAAATGGATGAAGGTTGCACGCACAGCGCCTGAGAGCTACTTTGTCTACCCAAGCCGCCTCCGTTTCACGTTCAGCCACTACCTCTGTTTCCTACAAAATTGCACTGCTGGCCACCTACTGAGGGCCCACTATGCATCACTGATGGCTGGTCGGGCCAACAGAAGGCTGACCATGCATTAATTTGGTGCAAAGTTCTATTTTTGTGTTCTGAGGTGAACCAGTGCAGATAGAGCATCCTCAAGCTCTATTTGTCCCTTTTTTCCTTCTCTGTCATGGGAAAGCCTCGAGAGAAGATTGAAATTGATTCCAAAGCCATCAATAAACAACATGATTGCTTGATGGTTTCGGATGCAATTTTGGACAAAAGTCTATGAAATGCAAATAATAAGACCACCCCTCCCTCTTGTCATAGTATGAACTCAAAGAGGGAGGTTGCAACACTTCAAGAATTGTAACACCCCGAAAATTGGGTAGAGTATATCTATTTATACTATAAAACCCACCTGATAGACAAACACATATATATAGCTAACTATTCCATACATCTATTTCGATTAAATCCCAAATGCCAAATACATGCTATTCACATCTCAATGCCCTAGTTCCAATCCCAAGCATACATTTTACAACAAGTATGAAATGGAAACCGAATAGATAATAAGTGCCCTACAGGTTTACAAACTTATCCAAGAACATTCTTGGTTACACAAAATGGAGTTTGAACTCAACGCAAATACAACCTTAGACTTACATTCAACAAATAACAATAAAACAAAAATAAAACCTCAGCTTCGAGTCCTCCCAAGTCAATGCTTTAGCGGAGGCATAACACCTGTATGTGAAATGGTTTCCCTTATAGGGTGAGCCACAACCTAGTAGAGATATACTACACAACATATGGACCATGACAAGACTAAAGAAGAGTATGCTCATGCCATGATCATGATAAAATAGTTTCTCTCTTTTTATAAAGCATGCAATGCTGAGATGCAACAACAGATATAAAACCAATTCCATTTTAAACCATATATGTTATGTTATGTGAATACAGGCTCCATGAATTTCTAAGTAAGTGTCTGCAAGTAAGCCCTAATGCACTACCACTGTCATTTTTACCAGTAAACTAGAAGGCTGGACACCTAACCGCGTGGTTGCACACCCCCTACCCAGATTTACCAAGTATTCATCTTTTCTCAAACAAATACATTTTCAAACATTTCTCAAAAACAGATACATTTCCAATGAAATGAATGTAATGCAATGTCCAATGCAACAAACGAGGAATGTGGTTCAATTTACCTAAGTCTCATGTATTTCTACAACAATCATTGATATCCTCCACCGACAGCCCAAAATATAAATTTCTAAACAGATATTTAGACAATTAAATTCCAAAAATTCTGATAAATACAATCTATTCCACATCTCATCAAATATGAACAACTACACTAGTTTTCATATCACAATCACGTCCGGTAACCTCTCAAGGTCAATTTCTAACCGTGTCGATTTTATTCCAACAGATACATTAAGCAAAATAATACCTTTAATGCCCAAGAAAACATCATTTTCTTTCCAAACTCATTCTCCAAGCATTATCCAACAATGACATTCTATTTTGATCAAAAGTCCTAAAAGTTCAACATAATTCCTTTGTTTTCTTTAAAAATGCTCTTTTGGTCGCAAACCGGTAAAAATTTCAAAACCGATCGAATCGAAGTCCATTTTTGTTCAAATTTAAAACATAACTCTTTCATAACCTTATAGACATATTCCAAGCTTACACTTTCGCAATTTGGGCATCAACTCTTTATTTTTTTCAAAATTTCCCTTTTAAGTAAATAAATCACAAATTTTTCAAAAATTCTAATTAAATTATGTACAACTCTAAGCTCCATATAATCAAGTAAAAGTGCATGTCTTCCAACCCCACTTCTTTCTCCCTTTTATTTATCCGCTTTTGATGGATAGATTAGGGACACGTTTCAATTAGCATACCTTATGCTTGCATGCGTGCATCATTCATTTGTCTTGCATGCACCGAGGCTTGACGTATAATTCAAACTGCATTGTATTTCAATACTTATTTGAATACGTGTTTAAAGCATGTTATCAAATTGTTGCATTCATATGCCATCTTAGATAGCCGAGCCTATTTAAATTTCATTATTGCATGTGTTGGATTAGGCATTTTGTATAGTTTGGATCATGCATATTTCTAACTAACTTTTGTTTTGGCTTGGAGTACTTAGTGAGTTTTATGCTTTAGCATGCTTGCATATGTATAAGTGACTGTCATGATAGCATGCTTGCCATGAACCTATTTGCTAAAATAATTAACTGCATGAATGCCTGTGGATGAAGGTTTTGTTGCTTGAATTGGAATGATTCAATAAATGTGAGTTTTAAGCCTATCATGTTTGATGACAAATCCGCACTTTAGCCCACTTGAGAGTGGTATTTTCAAACCATTTTCGAAAACAAACATGAGTTAATTTGTTCCAAGCGACTTAGTCTATACTTGCTTACGAGCATACATAGTAAAGTTAGCTAATAATCGGAATAAGAAGGCATGTGTTTATAAAACAACATATCATGTTTAATAGAGGCCGATCTTTGATCGGACGAGCGGGGGTGCTCATTTCAAGACCTTCCCCTCTCGTACCCAAGTTCCCGAACCGAGGCAACTTTGGTGGTAACGGACACGTGGCCTTTGGCGCGAGTCAGGGTTTCCTAAATTTCCCAAAAACAAAATATTTAGGTGGCGACTCTGTAATCTGGCAAAGCAGTCCAATTTTGGCATTGTTTGATTCAAAATCGATTTTCCAAAATGATTTGCCAGATTAGACTCTTTGGTGTTTATCGGTCTCACATTTCACTTTGTGAGATTAGATTCAGAACCGTGACAGGAGTCCAAACTGTAGAACCAATTCGAGCTCTCCAAAAGGAGGCGCAAAGAAAGTCAAGTCTACAAATACCAAGATAGTACTAAAATACATTAGGTTGTTATTCATTGAAGAAGTGGTACTTGAATGGATTTTGCACTCTTTCTGGAAGAACAGATCAAGTCTGGAAGGATCAATCTCTAGCTCCACTACAATCAAAATTCCTGGAAAGTCCCTGCTACAATTGCAAACTAACAAAGGGAAATGTTGAGAAGCAATAATTCCAGCTAGAAGTACTACCATAAAAATTTAGGCATGTCAATACAAACACCAAAAATTACAAAGATAATTAAAAATTCAAATTAACAATAAAAAATTTAGTTTACTTTGCCAACCACAAACAAAAACACAAAATTAACATATATATGTTTACCATTTTATCAATATGCAGGTTGTATATACACACATATATGTACATATATGTTTTTTGAGCATATATATGTTTACCATTTTATCAATGGATTCGGCAGAGCATGTCATGACAAGCATGTCAAGCTAGTTTGTTCAAATTTCACTATAGGTATGGATCATAAATATTATACTAATATAACCGAGAAATAAATTAGATGAGATAAAATGAAATAATATCAAGATTAATAGTAAACAGATCAAAGACCATCCAAATCCAATACTAGGGTAGTGGATTTCATTTTCTGGTGTGATCATGGATATGCTTTACATATACAAAAGATATTTCAAAATCTAAATATTTTAGTTCAATTTTTGCAGAACTAGCCACCTTGTTTGGTTTAGACTGATTTTTTGAAAGTTAAGATTTTTAAAAGATGGCATAAGCTGATGTCCTATTCTAGCCATTAGAGCAAAAGAATTGATCAATATAATGTAAGAATATCATTCTCGTAAGAAGTTTCCATAACAACTATAGTCACCAAAAGCCAAAGAACCAGAAAAACAAACAAAAACCCAATGAACCTTCAACCTTGTGATCACATTTTTTAGAAAATCACCAATCCATCATCCAAGTTTCAAAGATCAAAACACAAAATCAATGACTCCACTTGTTAATGAAGAATTAATTACTTTCACCAACCAAGCCACACAAACCTTAAACAAGACAATGACATCCACCTAATTTGAGACTCACAAACAAAGTTAAAGTGACATACTATTTGTCAAAGTAAAAATGTGAAATAGGATGCTGCACCCACAATTATACAATGCTTGCATATATATGGCAAATCTACATAAAAACTAGCGTCGAATAAGATAATAGGTCCGCCTTAGGATGCGTAGAGTTTTCTTGCCTCATCATGTCCACAACCTTGGCTGTAAATTGCTTCATTTCCGCCTAAAACAGAAGAACAATGAGCATAATGAGCATATTTAGGCCATCAATTTAAAATTTAATAGCAGGACAAAGTGAGAGGGAATACCTTGAATGGCTCATTATCAATTTGAAACTGAATTCCAAGTACGAAATGCAACCAAAGAGCAAATCCACTATTCAAAAACAGAGTCTATAAGGCAAAGTTCACTGATAACTTAAGCGGTGTAGTGGATCTAGATAAGCTTCTAAAGCTTAAAAATCTGATCTGTCTTGATCTCTCACATAATGGTTTCTCATTGAGCATCAACAACAGTGTTAACTCTACCTTGACCAACTTTGAAACTATAAGATTAGCTTCTTGCAACTTGAGCGAATTTCCAAACTTCTTGAGAGAACAAGCCAGATTGCGTTTTCTAGACCTTTCAAACAACAAAATTCATGGTGAAGTTCCAAAATGGTTATTCAATGTGGAGAGAGATTCATTGCATAATTTAAATCTTTCTCATAATTTCCTTACAAGTTTAGAGTGTCTTCCATGGAAGAATCTGGGATATATTGACCTGCACTCCAACTTACTCCGAGGACCACTCCCTGTTCCACCTAACACCACATATGTTTTCTCTATCTCAAACAATAAATTGACCGGAGAAATCCCTACATTGATTTGCAATCTAAGTTCACTTGGAATTCTTGATCTGTTTAATAACAATTTGAGTGGGTTGATTCCACAATATTTGGGAAACTTCAGCAATAGCCTCTCGGTGCTGAATTTAGGGATCAATAGCTTTCGTGGCACATTTACAGCAACATTTACCAAAGGCAACGTGCTAAGGAATCTTAACTTGAATGGCAACCAAATTGAAGGACAAGTTCCGCGATCATTGCTCAATTGTAGACACTCGGAAGTTCTAGATCTTGGAAAAAATAAGATAAATGATACATTGCCCCACTGGTTGGGAACTCTTCAAAACTTGCAGGTTCTTGTCTTGAGATTTAATATGTTTTATGGTCCTATAGACACCTTCAAGACCAAGGGCAAACATCATTTCCCCAAGTTGAGAATTATCAACATATCTTACAATGAGTTCACTAGGCTTTTGCCAACAAACTATATCAAACAATTTGAAACTATGATGAATGCGGATGAACATGAAATGAAATTAAAATACATGGGTGAATACTATTATCAAGATTCTATGGTGGTAATGATGAAAGGATATGAAATTGAATATTCAAGAATCTTAACGGTCTTCTCAATCATTGATTTTTCAAGAAACAAATTCCAAGGAGACATTCCGAAATCCATTAGGAGGCTTAATTCGCTTTGGGATCTTAACTTATCCCAAAACAACCTCAAAGGTCACATCCCAACTTTACTTGGAAATTTAACGAACCTTGAATCATTGGATCTTTCCTCAAATGAGCTTGTTGGAGAGATTCCTCAGCATTTGACAAGTTTGAAGTTTCTTGCCGTACTAAACCTTTCGGATAACCAACTAGCGGGACAAATTTCTTAAGGGAGCCAATTTAATACATTTGGGAATGATTCATACAACGGGAACTTGGTCTTGTGTGGATTCCCCTTATCAAAGAAATGTAAGGAACAACAACCATTGCCACCTCCACCAACATTGCAACATGATGAAAATTCAGGTTGGGAGGGCAGATTTAACTGGATTCTCTTTATTGTGCTACTTGATTGAACAGATCTAGTTTTGAAATAAAAACATTAGCAACTCAATAATAGCATATACATAGAAACCACAAAAGATAATTCAACAAAGTAATGCTTCAAAGATAAATTCTACTTAACTAAATGACGCAATTTGTTTTTTGCTAATTTCTTCCTTTACTGCATCAGTGAGCACTCTTCTTGGACCTTTTCACCTTCTTATATTGTTTTTCTTCAATAATTTCATCAGCCATTCTAGACTTCGAGTTACTAACATAAGATATCCCATAAGCATTCCAAATACAAAGCCACATCCATACCCCATAACAACTTTCCAGTTAAACCTGCCCTCCCAATCTGAATTTTCATCATGTTACAGTGTTGGTGGAGATGGCAGTGGTTGCTGTTCCTCACATTTCTTTGATAAGGGGAATCCACACAAGGCCAAGTTCCCATTGTATGAATCATTCTTAAATGTATTAAATTGGCTCCCTTGAGGAATTTGTCCCGCTAGTTGGTTACCGAAAGGTTTAGTACGGCAAGAAACTTCAAACTTGTCAATTGCTGAGGAATCTCCCCAACAAGCTCGTTTGAGGAAAGGTCCAATGATTCAAGGTTCGTTAAATTTCCAAATAAAGTTGGGATGTGACCTTTGAAGTTGTTATGGGATAAGTTAAGACCCCAAAGCGAATTAATCCTCCCAATGGATTTCGGAATGTCTCCTTGGAATTTGTTTCTTGAAAAATCAATGATTGAGAAGACCGTTACGATTCTTGATTATTCAATTTCATATCCTTTCATCATTACCACCACAGAATCTTGATAATAGTATTCACCTATGTATTTCAATTTCATTTCATGTTCATCCGCATTCATCATAACTTCAAATTGTTTGATATAGTTTGTTGGCAAAAGCCCGGTGAACTCATTGTAAGATATGTCGATAATTCTCAACTTGGTGAAAGGATGTTTGCCCTTAGTCTTGAAGGTGCCTATGGGACCATGAAACACATGAAATCTCAAGACAAGAACCTGCAAGTTTCGAAGAGTTCCCAACCAGTGGGAGAATGTATCATTTATCTTGTTTTTTCCAAGATCTAGAACTTCCAAGTGTCTACAATTGAGCAAGGATCGCGGAACTTGTCCTTCAATTTGGTTGCCATTTAAGTTAAGATTCCTTAGCACGTTGCCTTTGGTAAATGTTGCAGTAAATGTGCCACGAAAGCTATTAATCCCTAAATTCAGTACCGAGAGGCTGTTGCTCGAGTTTCCCAAACATTGTGGAATCAACCCACTCAAATTGTTATTAGACAGATCAAGAATTCCAAGTGAACTTAGATTGCAAATCAATGTAGGGATTTCTCCAGTCAATTTATTGTTTGAGATAGAGAAAACATATGTAGTGTTAGGTGGAACAGGGAGTGGTCCTCGGAGTAAGTTGGAATGCAGGTCAATATATCCCAGATTCTTTCATGGAAGACGCTCTAAACTTGTAAGGAAATTATGAGAAAGATTTAAATTATGCAATGAATCTCTCCCCACATTGAATAACCATTTTGAAACTTCACCATGAATTTTGTTGTTTGAAAGATCTAGAAAACACAATCTGGCTTGTTCTCTCAAGAAGTTTGGAAATTCGCTCACGTTGCAAGAAGCTAATCTTATAGTTTCAAAGTTGGTCAAGGTAGAGTTGACACTGTTGTTGATGCTCAATGAGAAACCATTATGTGAGAGATCAAGACAGATCAGATTTTTAAGCTTTAGAATCTTATCTAGATCCACTACACCGCTTAAGTTATTTGATGAAAGCCGTAAGTATGTTATTTAATTCTGCTCCTCGCAACATCAACTTCAGTTCATCTTTAGTAACATATGGTTCACTAGTACTTGAAAATTGACAAGGTCAATTGACAGCATTATCTTATAGCCACAATTTCACGAAAAAATTGCCAACCAATAACACTGAAAGTTTATAATTGAGTATCGAAGAAAAAATTAGCCACACGTGGAAAACATGCAGAACAGAATACCATATAGGAAGTTAAAAAATAAATTATAAGCATACAGATTCACATGACTTGTATTCACTGCAAACTTATTTCATCCTCTCCTACTGCTTATATTCACTATTCACATGACTTGTGATGCAAAACACCACACAAACAACTAGAACATCCTTATAACCACCAATAATAAAAATTGCAAAGTAACAAAAGTTCAGATATTGTCAAGGCATCCTACAGAAAATGTCTTATTCATGATTTTTCTAAATTTATTTGCTTCACCAAATCCTTGAAATTAATAATTATTGTTGATGAAAAATTGCCTTAGAAACAACAAAAACATCCAAGAAAATACTAGGGAGAGTTATGCTTAGGTCTTAATAGGTGAACTTATTGTCCAATAGATCCTATAATAATTAATGACATTTTTCATCAAACACTATTAAAAAACAGTCACTAATTATTAATTTTCAGCGACAGTTTCAAAATTGTCCCAAAAAAAATCGTTAATTTTCAGCGATAATTTAAAAAAATCGTTACAGAAAAATGTCACTAATTTTCAACTTTTAGCAACAGTTTGAAAATTTTATCACAAAAAAACGTCATTAATGGTAAGTTTTAGCGACAATTTATAAAAAATCGTGACAAAAAAAGATCACTAATTGTCAATTTTTAGTGACACGCAAAAAATCGTCACAAAAAATTATTTTTAACGACGATTTTTCTAGAACTTATTTTCAATAAGACTTGATGAGATTTAAGTCTAACTATTATGACCTATCGGTAGTTTACCCAAAATACTAATAAAAACTTGAACAGCACTGGAAACATCACCAATAAAACAACATACCATAAAGACCAAAAGAAATCATCAAAAGCAGCTATCTTTTCTTCCCTCTTTCGATAAAGATACTAGCTACAACATGACATAGAAGTTACAAAGAGATCAAAGCAGGTTCACGATAAAGCACACCTTCTTCCTTTCAGACCAAGCATTTTTAGCATTCTAACAACTCTTCCAACAGGATATAATATTAAGGAAAGCCACGCCACTGGCCTGACCTAGAGGCATTGCAAGTGACACAGGTTAAATTAACTTAAAAGCACTCATATCAACCCATCACACAAGAGACAAAATGAACTCTTTTATGGTGGCTGTCAAAAACTCCAAGTGATCTTTGGTTCAATTCAAAAGAAAGAAGCAACTTCAAGACTTACCACAAACCTAACCTCAGTGACGTTGTGAACAGCTATACTTTTTGGAGTAATTTCAGTGAGGAGCAAAACAGCAATCTGATATATCATTAAAGGGATAATATCTGGTTTATGACACACATCAATATATAAATGAGTTTCTATGCAGGTACTAACTACTAGCTAGAATACAAGAAAGCCAAATATGTATTTATAGCAAATACAATCTCAGCAACTTTAGACTGACAAATTCTAAATTAGGAGACCCACTAACAGCTATACAGATTTGACATTTGGAGAATAATCTTCTATGGCCTAAAGCATTAACGATAGCATGTTTGGGCATTTGAAATCTCATGCTTTATTTTTATCCCAAATTTTCGGTATTGAATATATGTCCTTCAACTAATTAAACAAGGAAACTTTTTTTTTGAATAAATAATTAAACAACGAAACTGAGACATACAGTCATCACCCCAGTAGCTGCACTCACACCAGCTTCACCAAATATCGTCGTTGCTGCTTTTGTGACAGGTGCAGTTGCTCCAATGTTTACCACACTGCACATAAATAAAATCTACAATAAGACATAATATTCAGAATCATGTTGAGAGAACAGCACCAATGATGATTGCAAGTACAGGAAGGGCAATACGTTGTGCCAATATGTATAGTTGTTAGGAACCACGTAACATCAATGCTAAGCATTTTGAAAATACCATCCTCAGATTCCTTTTCAGCCAACTCTTGCACCTGGTATACATCAATATCAAATAAACAATGACAAGTTCCTAATTTTAAAAGAAAAAAACAACATGCATGTGTGCACATTGACACAAGATTGCAAAATTTCTACAGGCTGCATTCTTTTCTATGATCATTAAAAGATAATAGTAGCCTATAAACATAGAAGCACCCGATTGCATGAACATGTATTAAAAAGAACAGCAGCCTTAAACATAAAAGTAACCAAGGGTGGTTTACATACAATAGTACATCCCTTTTTTATAAGCACAATAATACATCCCTTCTATCTTCAAAAACCTTAAAACCACAGACCATTCTAAGCCTTAACTGCAAATTAAATGTTGTAGATGGCTATTAAACTTCTGACTGTTATCCTACATCATTATATACAAAGCGTATTTTCCATTCAATCACAACTAGCTCCACCATCCATTGATTTTTCAACCTAAAACCTAATTCCTCAACCTCAACTCTCTCCCTGCCTTGTACAACTTAACACCAACTACCCAAAATTAGTTGTAAAAATTCTTGTCAGTTAAGAAATTTTAACAGCCTTTAAATCCAAGTCTATTCTGGCTCTTCCTCACGCTACAAAGTCTAGAACCTTTCTTTCACCCTTTCAAAGCCAAATCATAGAAGATATCACGCAACACATGCAGTGAAGAAAAAAATTCTTCTCTACAAAATGAAAAGAGGTTCTTTTGACCCCTCGAAGGACTACATGTTGCATTCTCTCCAACATATTAATTGGTTTGGGGCCATACATTACATCTTACTATTAGTCAAACAAGGCATTCTGACCAGTAAATGCAATTATTTTTATTTTTATTTTTTAAAATAAGTAAGTGGGGGAACAGGCGAATGGAAAACTGCATCATACAGAGATGAGACTAGCCAACTCTTGGACTCCAATAAATGCACCCCGTAGGGTAGCACTACATCAACTAGCCAACACTCGTCTCCAACAAATGCAATTAAGCAATAGAAAAATGTGTACAAATTACACTTTACCATTTATCAAGAAAAACTAACAACAAAATTCAGGCATAAGAAGCTGCTGCGAATAAAGAAAATTGAGAAGTGCTTTCATTCACAAATTACACTCTTAAGTACAAACAACATTAAATAGGCATAAACCCAACAACTTGAATTCTTAAGAGTTCATTCCTATCACAAGACAAAAATCTAATATGAAAAGAATAAAAATAAAACTAATCCCCATTAAGAGTATAAAATGTGTACCTTCCAAGGCCAAAGAGTGGTAATTGAAGTTTCAGCCATAGAGAAAAATGCAGAGAGACCCAGAAGAGCAGCCAAAACCAAACCTTGCTCGTTGAAAACACCAAGAACCTGCGAAAGTTTCGGCCAATAACTCTTCAATAACAATATGTTCTGTCCTATAACCCCATAACCCGAATCCACAACCCCTTCCACCGCAAAAACTCCTCGGCAACCAAACACTAAAACCCCAACAACGGTAGCAGCCAACACAATGGTTCTCTGATTTACAAAAAACCCTAATTTCAAACTCGTAATCGAGTCTTCAGCGCCATGAACCTCACTTTGTTGGAATCTACAAACAAAACCCTGATTTTGTTGGAATCTGGAACTGAACAAGTCGTTGGGAGTAGACGGGACGATGCAATTGGTGGGAATTCGAGAAGAGAAACGCAGATTTAGGGAAATTCTTGGTGGAAATTGGTAGTGGGTAATCTGATCTGAGGGTGAGAGGAAGGGAGAAATGAAGGGTTGGAACGAGGGAAGAATGTTGATGGATTGAAAAGTGCGGATTCGGCTGCTACTTCCATGAGAATTCTCAACAATCTGCAGAAACTGTAGCTACAGAGAGAGAGAGAGAGAGAGCGCTAAAGAGTGTGAAGAGAGTGTGATGCTACTGAACTGGTTGTGTTCATCATCTCGGACCAGTTCGAACTGTGGAACAAGTTTTCGAACCAAGTGGGAGTACGCGAACGGACAAATTTGTAGAGTACCTCCCATTCCTAGGTTTGTTTGGGGAGTTGTTTATTTCGGTGCTGTCTAGTATCCCATTAAAATTTAATTTTTTTTGTTTATAGATAAAATACAAGTACTCTCCTTACAATTTGTTTAAAATATAAATTATTCCTTATAATTTTAAAAAAAAATTAGTATAATTAATTGAAAAAATAAAATTTCTAACTGCTCTCCAATATAATGATAAAATTACTTAAATTATTAATTAAAATAAATTTATAATGTTATTAAAAACTGTTAATTTACTTTATAATTTATTAATAAAAATGGTCATTTATTATGAAATTATAAATTTCAACAGCTGAGGTGTAATTTCTAAAACACATAAGATAAATCATATTTTAAGCAAATTTTAAAAAGTGAATTTGTAATTTGTCTTTTTTTTAAAAAAAAAATTAAAAGGGTAAATTATAATTACACCTGTTTAAAATACAAATTACATCATATAATTTAAAAAATTATAAATACCCACTTGTTAGAATTTTTTATTTAACATAATTAACTAAATAAAATAAAATTTCTAACTGCTTTAATGTACAATGATAAAATTACCTAAATTAATAATTAAGATAAAATTTTAACATCAGTAAAAACTGTTAATTAGTAAGATATAATTTTCAAAACCACATGGGGTAAATAATTTTTAAAGCAAATTTTAGTGGGTATTTTTGTAATTTATCCAAATTAAAATATGAGTTGAAAGAATTGAAAATGTTTGGAAAATACTTTTGTTTTTTGTAGACACCCCATTTTGACCGGCTCTAAGACTTTGGCGCTTTCTTTTGACCACCCTATGATAAAAATTAGAGTATGCTATTGTATGAATTTCTCAGTAAAGAATTCAAATTGAAACTTTAATCTCAAACCTCACCCATTTTGGCCAAATTTATAATTTGTAATATTTTATAATTTGGTGTGTGTACATGATTTTAGGTGTTTTTATCAAAATCAAAAACAAAAAACAAAAAAAGAAAAAGAAGAAATACAAAAAATAGTATGGTCAGGAGAATATCCTGTTTTTGGGTAGGATGATTATATTTTATGAGTGGGTGGAGAATATTATATTTTTAGGAAAAAAAGAAAAGAGAAAGCAGAGGCTGGCTACATTTATTTTGGAAAAAAGAAAGGTAGTGGTGAACATGGTGTATGGGCAAGATGATTATGTTTGTTTTGGTGGAAAGATAATATTTGTAGAAAGAGAATAGGTGTTCATGTGAGTGGGGTCATGGGTAATATTGTTTTGTTTAGAGAGAAAAGATTGTAGAGAGAGAGAGAAGGTGACAAAAAAAAAATAATAAAAGAGAGAAAACAAAAGCTGAGGGGGGACGGACACACAGGGATATATAGACACTACACTCACTCAAAGGCAAAAAAAAGGAGAGTTTTGGTTCAGCTGGGGCATGGGGAGGAGAAATGATAATAATAAAAAAATACACAACTCTCTCTCTCTTCATAATGCTCGGCAGTGGGGGAGAGAGGGAGTCCAGATCCTCGGCTGCACAAACCTGCAGCTATCCCAAAACGACGTTGTTTTGAAGGAGATTTCAATTTAAAAAAAAAAAAGGAGCAGAACAGAAACCAGAGGGGAGGGGAAGAAGAGAGAGAGGAAGGGAGAAGAAAGGAGAAGAAGAGAGGAGAAGAAGGAAGAGGGCACCGCCGCAGTGGCCTCAGAAGGTGGCGAGGATGAAGGAGCAACCGCGAGCAGCCGTGGCGGCTCCAGATCCGGCCAGGACCAGGCGAACAAAGTCTCCAAACAAAGATTCCTCCATCTTGGGATGGACGATGGAGAGGAATTTCTTGGAGCAGAACTTGCCAAAGTGACAATTGGGTAAGATTCCGAGTGGAGGAGAGAGGAGAGGTGGCAAGTGGGTAAGATTTTGGTCCGTCCACTCCCTTTTCTGCAACGGCCTTGGCGGCTTCCCTCCTGCCTCCCTTCTTCTTCTCTCTTCTTCTCCCTTCCTCTCTCTCTCCAACTGGTTTCGGTTCTGTTTTTTTTTTTTTTTTAAATTGAAATTTCCCTCAAAATGACATCGTTTTTCACCAAACGACGTCGTTTTGGGGGTGCCGCAAGAATGGCCGCAGGCTTGTGCGGCCGAGGATCCGGACTCGGGAGAGAGGTTCTTTATCTGAGCTAAACACACACACAACAGACACCATTCACAACACACCACACACAGAGCTACACACGCTGCACACACGGCACACACACATGCATACATATTGATCATTGACAAACACACACCAGCTCTCATACACAGACTGAGCTCCCTCTCCCTCTCGGCTCTCTCCATAGACACAGCCCACATACACACTGATAAACACACACACAACACACAAAGGCACACCCATGCACACAGACATACACCCAGCATAACCACCACACGGCAGACCCAGCAAACACACAACACACACACACGATTTAGAGAGAGAGAGGACACACACTCCACACACCCAACACTCCACACACTCACACACACACCCACGGGATTGACCGACACACATGCATACACATGCAGACTCAACACACATGATTCACAGATACACCATACACACGGTTTAGAGAGAGAAGGCAGACCCAAAAAAACACACACAGGGGGCTGTGGGGTTGTTGATCTTTCTCTAGATCTCTCTCTCTCTCTCTCTCTCTCTCTCTCTCTCGGCTTTTGGAAATAATAGAGAGAAGTTTGGGTTTGGCTCTTGGGAGAGAGCAGTTTCAAAAGAGAGAGTGAGTGAGTGAAAAGTGTGACGGGAAGAAAGGCTCCTTATCTTGGCTATCACACACACAGATGCACACACATGGGGGGATGAGGTTGGCTCAAAACAAGCACTTTCTCTCTCCCTCTCTCTCTCTCGGGGTGGCAAAGTGCAGGTTCACATAAGAGGATGGGGGCCCTCCATTGAAGATGCATAACATGAGTACATGGGCTGGATTTGTATATATCATAATATGTGCTGATGAGTTGCAAGTGGGTTATTGGGACCACGGTAATTTGATGGTGTGCAGACTGGATTGGATTGAAGACACATAGATCTTTGATAATTGATGAGTGGTCGGGGGTTTTAAAACTTCTATTTTAGTTTGGAGTGTTTTGTGAGATTTTATTCTCCTCTCTCCCTTATTTGAATTTGTAATATTAAAGTGTTGTAATAATTTCCCACCCCGCTTCTTTCTATCTCATTCTTTAATCGCTTTCCTTAACTGTGCATATGTATATATCTGACATGTCGTGCATATGTATATATCTGACATGTCATGCATATCCATGCTTTACGTTCACGTCTCATGCATTAAGATTCGGCTAAATTCCTATTTGTGGATTTCATCAATTCTTATGTGATTCTATGTGCTACCCCATATTTTTGAGATGATTCACATGCCATATTGTAGAAGCCGAATCCTAGGTTGCATCTCATGTGTGAATTGTATTAGGATTCTGTATATAGGATCATGCATATTTTACTAACTTTTTTTTGTAGCTGTTCGCGAGACATCAGTAAATATGTGAGTTTGTATGTTTTAGCATCCCGCTTTTACATAATTTTCTTATTATATTTAGCATCCTACCATGTAGCTATTTGCTTAAGTGATAAACTGTTTGAATGCTTGTGAATGAAGGCTTGTTGCTTAAATTGGAATGATTCAAAGATTGTACGTTTTAAGCCCACTTTGTAGTGGCAAATTCACAAACTTTTAGCCCACTTTGTCAAGTGGCAAATTCAAACCCTTTTCGACAAACAAACATGAAATTGAATTGTTCCAATTCGGACAAACTAGTCTATACCTTGTATGCTTCACATTGTAAATTTTAGGATTTACTAAAATAATCAGAACATGAACATATAAAGAAAATAAAATTCATATCATAGTTTAGTAGAGGCCTATCTTTGATTGGGTAAGCGGGGGTGCTCATTATTGACCTTTCCCTCTCATACCTAAGGTTCCGAGCCAAGCATCCTTGGTTACAACGAACAGTGGCCTTGGCACGAGTCATGGGTTTCCTAATTTTCCAAAATAAATATTAGGTGACGACTCTGAAATTTGATGACGCAGTCCATTTCTGGCAAAAGGTTTTGCAATAAAATGGATTTTCAATAAAAATTGCTAAATCTGGACTCTCATCTACGTTTCACATTGCACTCGTGAGACTAGATCAAAGAGATCTCAGGGGTCCGAACTGTTTAACACGCGCGGGTACCCCCGGGCATGTTACACTTTTTTATAAAAAATGTCTAAAAAATAGAAAAATGAGAAGAAATCTTTGGCTTTTTGCAAGTCTTTTTTATTTTTAAACTTTTTAAATAATTTTTTGATTTTGTTTTTTACTAAAACCAGCCTATTATCAAATGACCTCTTTATTTATCTTTTTTTTAAAATTTAAATTCAATAAAAATGTTAAAAAATAATCTCTAATTTTTTTTATCAAATTAAGGGAGAAATATTTTTTTTATTAAATTCAATTGGATGAAAATTTAAAAATATAAGGTATTGGTGGATATGATTTTTCCAACAAATAACTTCAATTTATTCCCTATAATTTGAGTCATGTGTGATTTATTCCTGTAACGTTTGAAAATAACCACATAACCTTTTTGTGGTTTGTGAACTCAAGTGTACCGTTAGGTTCGTTAATGATTTAATTGTGGCGCCCCCAAAATACTACAATAAAGATAAATCATATGCAGAATAAATATGAGAAACAACATACTTTCATATATCAGAGTTCACTGTTTAACAAACAATTAAATGCCATGTAGGCTTTCATCTTTCCAAGGCATTACTTGGTTACACAAATTGAGTCTCACTCATTATATCTTAAGCCCTTGGTTTTACAAATAACAAACATACACACATAAAGCATAAATAGGAAACTCTTGCTTCCCGAGAGTCCATCCATGCTATTGCATTGGAGGTAACACCTCACCTGCACCTAAAAATGATATTCCCGTATAGGGTGAGCCAACAACCCAGTAAAAATAATCTAACACAATTTATGAAGTTTAGCAAAGGTATAAATGCCACGTATATAAACAATACCGATATGGAAGCATCCACAAGGCCTACATATCCATATGCCACTAAGGCCAATCTTATCCCATTTTCCATCAGTTCATTTCCAATTATTATATGCTACTCAATTCATGAGTTAAATTCATCATCTTTCAACAACCAAAATAAGACTACAACTCAATGGTTCTCCAATTATGCAAAACACACACATAAACACTTCAAACTTGCCATTTTACGAATATTTCGTCCGAAGGAACCGACACTCATTTATGATAGATTTCGGGTCTTTCACCCAAGACACTCAGGCCAGCTTACTTTAAATAGAGTCCATCCCCTTTCTCCTCCCCAAATAAATTATACATATGCAATGTATTAATAAAGATAATCACATATGGAGTACATCTCATTTCTCCTCTTAATAAACATACATATACAATGTATTTATAACATGGTCATATTCAATGACACCAACAATGGATTAGCATTAAATCGCCTAATTCTCATGCAATTTCTACAACAATCATAGCTATCCTCCACCGATAGCCCAATACAATGATTTCCAAGATATATTCAATATCAGGTTTAATAGTTTATTCAAAACTTCTATAGGTGAGATAATACATATCCAATATCACCATTTATATTAATAATCATCCAATTTAACATATTCAATGCTAATTCCAATTATTTATACAAAATAATCATTTTACCAAATTAGGGCAAAAAATCCTCATTTTTCCAATATTAACCCAAATACCCAAAATCAACTATTTTAGTACACCAAGAGTTTATATTCAACCCCAAACATCATTTATCTCATATACATCAAAAACCCCTCTTTTCATTTTACACCCAAATCTTAGATTT